CGTTCTGCTGAACGCACCCATTGTCGTATCCTCTGCGCAGAAGTAACACGAGTGAAACGTCATAACCTTGAACCGTAATCGTAAGCCGGTATTCATAGTCGGTTCTTATTTAAAGACCGTCTTAAGTAATGTCTTAAGATGCCAATGCGGCTCTCTGATTGGTTCGTGACACCTCAAGATAGAACTTAAGACGATCTTGAATATAAGAACTGACTATGAATACCGTTCGTAGTCACAAAATTTTCGTCCTGTGTCCAAAGATTATTATAAACGCCTTATGGTCAAAACATAACCTATTTCAATTGACGACTTTTCTAAAAATCTCTGTGGTTCAGGGCTGGTTCTTCGAGTTTGTTTATTCAAAAAATATCCGATCACGCATATTATACTGAACATTTTTTAAATGAAAATTTAGAACTCGAAAACTATTCGGAAGTTGAAGAAAATTTTGGCGATTTTGTTGATAAATTAGATGAACTTATTATTGCTTGCGTACAAAGTTATCCTCATTTATATAACAAAAGTGATAAAAATTATAAAGACAACATGATGAAGAAAAAATCATGGGAAGAAATTGCGAGAACATGTCACACATGTTTTTAAAACATTTTTGAGTTTTTTAAAATGTTTTTGTTGGTATATAAAATTTGAAATATTCTAAAAATAAAATTTAATCATTCAGTTGATGAAATACAACAAAAGGTGGAAAAGATTAAAAGATAGATATGGCAAACAAAAAAGAATGAATGACCATGCAATGTGCAGTGGCTGTGCCGCACAAACAATTAAACAGTAGCCATTGTTTGAAAACATGAAATTTATGGAAAAACATATCCAGAGAAGAAGGTATAAATTTATGACAAACCAATTTATAATCATTTTTTTTATTTTAATCATATTGCTGATTGTATTACAGAACTTTTAGCAATGTTTCATGCCAATTTGCCGCCAAACCTCGAAACAATACATTGGACAAATTGAAACCTAGTCTTCAAATTGAAAGGTATATTGTAAATCATACAGTATTTAAATTGTTCTGATTAAATATTCTTGTTTTTTTTGTTATAAGAATTAAAGCAAAAGAATAAAAACATTTATTAAGTTATTAAAAGTACACTCATAAAGATTACTAAATTGCAGGAATACAATTTTAATGAATATAAAAATAAAAATAGCATTTTTTCCAAATAATATTCAAAAACTTGCTTTGACAGTATATATATATTAAAATTGGATATAATTACAATATATCTATTTTGAATCATATACAGGGAGTCGATTGTATATTCCAAAATGAAGTGAAAATTACAAAAGTACGCAAATTCACTAGAATATTTATAATTTAATTGGTCAATAATTAGTAAATTTGCTCACTTTTGTAATTTTTACCTCATTTCCAGATACACAATCGATTCGCTGAATTAGATACAAAATTATCCTTATGCAAAAATGATATGTATGCAGTTATTTTTACTACCCATTCAAACATTATTTCTTCTATTTTTTCTTCCTTCTTTAATAATAGCAATTGATCTTTTATCATTTATTATAAAGAATGTATAATATTTCTGATTTTCATGATCGTTTTATCCGTGCAATTAAATAATTTTTATAGATGTTTTCTAACTACTTTATGAAAATATTAGTCTTTTTAAGATAAAGAAAGAAAAGGTTTACTAAAAGAATTAATGATAATAATTATGAGTGTTGTAAAATATTTTCATTATTTTTTTTAATTGGAAAGCACACCATTTCAATCAAATCAGATCATGGCCCAATCAATTCAAGAATGGAAGAAAATTCAAAGTACATGTACAGAAAATAATCAGATGGAAAGATACAATTCCAGAAAATGTAAGAGTACTTATTTATTATCTTTATTTGATAATAACTGAAAGAAATAAAAATGTTTAAAAAGCGTAGATTTTTGTCTTAAAAAGATGTTAGTAGAAAGGAATAGTGTTTATAGATTTTGATCACCATAGAATAAAGCTATTAAAATATGTGATGTTGTGATATTTGTTGTGATATTGTGATGCTTCAGGAGCACCTTGTAAATTGAGCAAGATTATATATTTATATATCCGAAATACCACAAATCATTTAATAGTTTTATTATATCAAGGTCAAAATCTACAAAAACACTTTCTTTTTTACTAATATTTTTTTATGCAAAAATCAGTCCTTTCTTATCTCCTTTTATTTCAAATAATACATATTGTATATATGTAAATTTGTGCAGGTTTCCTAAAAATAAATTGGAAAAAAGTTCATACGGATTTGCAAGAAACTGTCAAGATTTTAAATCTGGAGTAGCAAATACAAATTCTACGGGAAATCAGACATCAATGTCCTTCAAATCTATATGTACCTTCAATATTTCTGGAGCTAATCCTCAATCTACTCTATCCACAGGAAGATATGAAAATTTTGAACCAATCTTAACAAATACAAATTCTATGGGAAATCAGACATCAATGTCCCTCAAATCTACATACACTGCCAATATCTCTGAAGATAATCCTCAACCTATTCCATGCATAGGAAGATACAAAAATTTTGACAACTTTCTCAGTTATAATGTTGCCATTTCTCCAGACCAAGAAAATTTCGAAATTACTTCGGGAATGTCTGATAACAGCCAGAATATGTTTTCTAATCAATTGGACAAATCTTATTATTCTGCAGATAAAGAAATTACAACTGCAAAATCATCCAATTCGAGTTCACCTTTGTCTAATTATCCGACAAAATGTTTTTCTAATGGCACTCAGCGAAGAAAGCAAATTAAGTCTGATCCACTAGAAGCTTCATTTATATATATATATATATATATATATAAATACTGCAAATGTGTTTAAAGAAAATATACTTAACAAAAAGGAAGAGAAAGAAAATAATTCATCTGTGGATGAACATTTCGCTAAATTTATTGTGTCATGTCTCTTGCAACTCCCGCAACAGGAAAGAAATGAGAAACGCAAAGAAATAATTAATGCATTTTATTTAACTAACAATAAGTAATATTTTAAATGAAATGGTATGCATATTTTTTAACATTTTTCCGTAATTTTAAAGTGATAGTGCAAATATAGCGGGTAGGTAATGCTGTTTGTACACTTGTGATTACTTTTGTGCAATTATTAGTCACTAGTAGTATTTACGAAACAAATTATTTTGAGACTGTACTATAATAATTAAGATTTTATTTTTTTTGTAACTTCTAAGTGAAAGTGCAATTATAGCGAGTAAGTAATGCTGTTTGTACGCTTGTGATTACTTTTGTACAGTTATTAGTCACTAATAGTATTTATGAAACAAATTATTTCGAGACTGCACTATAACATGTTAATTTTTTCTGTATTTTTAAAGTGAAAGTGTGCAAATATAGCGGATAAATAATGCCGTTTATATGCTTGTGATTACTTTTGTGTAGTATATTAGTCACTAATAGTATTTACAAATCAAATTGTTTTCAGACTATAATAATTAAGATTTTAATTTTTTTTCGTAACTTTTAAATAAAAGTGCTAGTACAATGAGTCGGTATAATACCATTTGTATGCTCGTAATTACTTTTGTGCAATATAAACATGTTAATAACAAATAGTACTTATAAATCACTTTTTTGAGACTTTATTTCAATAATTACATGTATGTATTTACATTTTCTATAAAAATAAAAAGTACATGAATAGTGATGAAAAAATATTTCTTTTAATTCATTATATTATCATTAATATATTACTTTGGCTGATCGTTAACGTTTTTACATTTTTTACGAACTTATAATACTATGGCGCTTTGCTTAAGGCAGTGATGCGTTACTTATGGTCCACCGAGTTATAATAAAATATAAAATCATATTTTCTATTTTGCTTAAACAAAATAAACATTGTACGAAAGTACCTATTTTATCTTTATTTAAAAAAAACCTTTAAAAATAACACTTAAAAGAGGTATCACTGATTCAACAAATTTGTTACTAAATAATCTAGAAAATCTAGATTTTATAGCATGGAAATTTTTTTCATTTAACCTGAAAAAAATTTTATAGCTATATAATTTAACATATTAATTCATATATTTTAATATTAAAAAATTTCAAGTTATAAAGTATTTCGCTAAAATATTTAGTAAAAATAAAATTATGAAAACATTTTTTATTTCAAATTTAATTCAATTTTTTATTTATTGAAATATTTTACGTTTATTAAATTTAATATTAAATTAGTCAAAATTTAGGCAGCATGATGTCCTCTTTGAATATATTCAAACTGCCATGGTACTTCGCCTTCTGGAGTCAGAAAATATTGCGCCAAAGTATCTCTTTGCTTTTGGATGCACCTATTATTCATTCTTTATATTAAATAGCCTGTTCCTGAAAATAAAACTATCTGAGTGTAATTGTAAGACGTTGCTCAGGTGATAAAGCTTTTTTTTTGATAAATGCGGCAAGAACATCGTTAATAAAATGTTGAATGTATTCACATCCATCCTTGTATACCGGAAAAATAAATTTGGATCTTCTTTCATCTCTTGAAAAAGATGCTGAAAATCTCCTTGCAACATTCGACGTCTGTTGATTGGTCTCACAAGTCATTTCCTATTTCTCCACCATTTGGCTTTTTGTCTTTTTTTCAAAATCATATACATAGAAGTCAATTGGAAGAACAAAGACGTTATGAAGTCTATATCCTTATCCATTGAACTATAAAATTTAAATTTACAGATTTATTTATTTAGAAAATTCGCGAAACTAATTACATGTTAACAATTACTTTATTATGCTGCAATTGGAAATAATACTTATGTCAATTATGACTGTGTTAAGCTAGAAACAGAGAAAAACGTAAAGCAGGAAATTTTAAACACGATACTTTTTATTATTTTGTTACTTAAACAACAATTCGTTATTTCTCGTTGTTCAAAGCAGAGAGAATCCTTCTCTGATTCAATGGCTGCGTTCAGCAGAGAAAGCAGCTTTGCAACTGTTGTAAAATTCTTCAATA